TGTATATAAAAATAATTTCTAAGTTAAATAATTTCTTGTTATAAAAGTTTGTCTTCTGTTTCTGGTATTATACAAATCCTTATAAACAATCGTGTGGCCTGGTACAAACCATGGCCAATCTAATCTTGAACACAGAAACAGGAAGGAACCCCTGCCACAACACAAACCTGCTGAATATCCCAGACAACTAGGTCTGTACAAATCTGGGACCTTTTGTTAAATAGATCATCCAAGAAAGTCTGTTTTGCATATTTTTTATGTCTTTATTTAAATAAGCATGCCTAAGCTTTCATGTTGGGAGTCCTGGTGTGGTGCTGTGAGTTAATGTGCCAGACTGCAAAGCTGTTTGTACTGCAAGGTTGGTGGTTCAAGCTCACCACCTGCTCCTTGGAAACTCTATATAGGGGTCGCTATGGGTCAGAACCGACTCTATGGCACTTCACAACAACAACAATCCTTCATATTAAATATTTCCTATCTGCTTGAAAATTGAGGGAAAGAAATTCAATTTTTGGTTTTCAATATATAAAATAGATTTTGTTTTACTATAGAGAACTTCAAATATATATATATATTATTTTTTGTTGTTGTTGTTATTAAGTGCCGGAGTCAGTTCCGACCCATAGTGACCCCGTGTAAGATTTCCAAGGAGCAGCTGGTGAGCTTGAACTATCGACCTGGTAGTTCAAACAGTTTTGCTGTCCAACGTATTAACCCACAGCGCTGCACCAAGACTCAAACATATAAATCACTTAAATTATAAATGAGTGAATTTTTTGCTTATCATAAATTGATTAACAAATACAAAGTACATTAGAACAGATTATATTCTGAAAATACATAATTGTTTGCATTTTGTTAAATTTCCAAATCTCCTTATGTTGTTAGGTGTTGTCGAGTCTGTTCCAACTCATAGTGATCCTAAGCACAACAGAACAAAACAGTGCCTGATCCTGTGCCATCCTCGAAAAATGTAGAAAAAAATCATTAAATTATTTTGAAACTTAAAGCTTTTCTTTGATAATAAAATCTATGAATATTTAATAGGCAAAATTAACAAAATGTAGAGATAATTCCATTTAGGTTTTATCACAACTCCTCTCTTTGATGACCTTTCCACAAACTACAGAGGTTAGTTTCTTGAAATGCCACCAGAGGGCAATCCATCCCAAAATTCCTTTTGTTGTTGTTGTTAAGTGCCGCTTTACTTGATGTGTATTTACACTCCAAGGCACACCACCATCACCACAATGCTGTGGAGGAACTGGCAGGTTTTCAATTTAGTTTGAGAAGACACAATAAATAGATAGAAAGGAATTAAATTTGTTTAGTCTGAATAGAACATATCTGAATAAATGTCCAATTTTGTTTTGCTTTGTTTTAAGGTTCATCTTTGCCTTTTTTAGAACTTAATTATATAAGGTGGAGCCCTAGTGTGGGATAAAGTACTGGACTGCAAGGATAGTTTGAACCACAAGGTTGGTGGTTCAAACTTACCAGCCGCCCCTTGGGACCCTTATACAGGGTTGCTTTAAGTCAGAACCGACTTGAAGGCACTTAAGAACAACAGCAATTAAAAGATAATAAATACAAAGTTTATTTTTCAACGTAAGATTCATCAAATTCAAGACATTTCTGTCATCCATGATCCCAATCATCTAGACTATCACCAAAGAACTGAGGGTCCTTGGAATTGAACATATCAATGCAGTCTTTCGTACATTATTAACTGAAGAAAATTGGATGCCCTTTAAGTATTTTTTTTTTTTTAAATAGGAAGCAAAAAGTAGTTCAAAGGAGCCAAATTAGGACTGTGATGCCTAACGATTTCCCAATGCAACTGTTGCAAAATTGCCATTGTTTGATGAGAGAATTGAGCAGGAGCAGTGTCCTGGTATATGACTCTCTAGTGAAGCTTTTGAGGGCATTTTTCTGCTCAAGTTTTGGTTAACTTTATCAAAACAGTCCCATAATAAGCAGATGTTATCATTCTTTGGACCTCCACAAAGTCAACAAGCAAAATGCCTTGAGCATTGCAAAAAACTATTGCCATGACCTTGGCTCTTGACCAGTTGTCCGCTTTTGTTTTGACTGGACCACTTACATCTCTTGGTAGCTAAAGACAAAATTGTACTTGGTCTTCAGGGTTATACTGGCAAAATCGTGTTTTATCTACTGTTATAAATCGTCCAAGAAATGTTTCAGGATCTTGATCCTTCTTGTTTAAAATTTCCATTGAGAGTTCTGCTTTTGTCTGCAGCTGACCTGCATGCAACAGTTTTGACATTCTTCGAGCAGAAAGTTTGTTCAACTTTAATTTTTAGTCAGAACTGTGTAAGCAGAGCCAATTGAGATAACTATGGTGCTGGTTATTGTTTCTGCCACTAATCATTGGCCTTCATCAATTAAGACATGAACAAGATTAATTTTTCCTTGAAAATTGATGTGGATTTCATTTTCAACATCTTCTTTCTTTAAACAAGTTATCCATTTGTAAACTGTTGATTTCTCTGTGGTGACTGTTCCCATAAACTTTTCGTAAAGCATCAATGATTTCACCATTCTTCTACCCAAGCTTCACCATAAATTTGATACTTACTCTTGCTTCAATTTTAGAAGAATCTATTTTGCTTTGATAGAGGCTCTTTTCAAACTGATGTCTTATACGTCTTAGTGCATCAAACTAGATCCTGTTCAGACAAGTTGATATAACTTTATTTTGGTGAAAAAAATTGAAATCCATGCACAATTTTATTCATAATAT